CATATTAGACCTTACTAGATATTATAGTAAACTATATAAGGTAATAGAATATAAATATATATAATTATATAAGGAATATTAATAATTTATATATAATATTATTAAATTTCTCTAATTATTTTAGCTTTAAGATTTCTTTAATATCTTTACCTTTTATAGTAATAATTATTATATTATTAATATTTTAGATATTCTTATAATATTACTAGTTTTAAGCTTATTAAGTAATAGCTATATAATTAATAAATCCTCTAAGTTCCTCTATTTTAATAATTATAATAATAACCTAGGCATAGAGTTACTTAACTTCTTTATTATTACTATTTATCTCTTCGTTATTATTAAGATTAGCCTAAACTAATATAATAGGGGTAAATAAGTAATTAATAAGTAAAACCTATTAATAATTATTATTAAGAATAGCCTAAGTAATTATTATATTTAATATTATTTAAGGTAATATAAGTAATCCTCTAAATAAGAGCTATTAATATATAATAAGAGGATATTTCTTAAGGGATAAACTAATTATATAGATTTATATTAATAAAAACGAATATTATATAACCTTAAAAGGTAATATAATATTACGTCTAGTAATATACTTAAGGTATTAAGTATAATTAAGTTATATTAATAGCTAAGATAGCTATTATATAAGAAAGTATAATAAGTATATTTTATATACTTATAGTTAGTCTTTAGACTAATATTCTCTAGGTTTAATCTAAGATAAGACTAATATTTCTAATATTTAGTCCCTAGATTAATATAGGCGAGGTTTAGTCCCTTCGGTCCTTTGCTTAGTTAGAGTGTTTCTATTATGCTTCCCCGCCTGGCTTATATCATGGCTATGATATTCCTAGCCCTCTATTTTACGCTTAGTTTAGCAGTACTTATTGCTTTTTATTTTTATACTCTAGCGGATACCATAATATATTCTACTATTTATTTAGTTATAGCGGCTTGCCTGCTGCTGCTAACCGGGTATATGCGGTTTGGCCTAGTGCTCTATTATAATATGAGGTATAAGAGACCGCTTAGTCAAGCGTTAGTCCGAACTATTATGTTTAAGAGGTTAATAAGAGAGGAAATCTTACTCTTAGATGCTATTTACCTATATATCTAATTATTAAGAAGTTAGAAGCGCTAGGCTAATTAATTTATTTATCTCTATATGCCCGGGGTAAGCTATACCTCTTTTGCATAGCTCTATCCCTTTTACGTAGCGTAGTAATATCGCGACGGCGGTTATAACTATGCTATCTTTATTATATAGAAGCGAAGAGGTTTTATAGATCGAGTCTTTTCTTATCGCATAAGCGAACCTAATAAGGGCGTAGATCTAGCCGCTATAATTAAAGGACTATATGGAAAAGGACTTAACCTCGACTTATATAGTACTATCTTACTCTTCGCGACTAGTATAGGTATCGCTAGTTAGCTGCTATTTATCGCATAACTTCTCGAAGGATATTATAATTATAAAGTGAAAATAAGGAGAATTACTCTATTTTAGTAGGTATAGTTAGAGAGTAGGTATATCATAGATCCATATGACCGGGGCCTATTTTGATTGTTATTCTAGTCTAAATAGCCTAGGTCGCCGATCAGATATAGCAACTCCTTAAGTAAGATACTAATCGGGTTAATTAAACCCTAGCCCCTAGTAGGGGTAGGCACTAATAGCTAGTAGATACTCGATATCTATATTTATATATTAGGTAATTTTCTATTAAGAGTAATCGATTAAGGAGATTATATCTAACTAGGCGAGCGTATTGATATAACGTATGGGCCCTTGCGCGTTAGAGAAGTAATTAATAACGAAATAAAATAGCGAAAAGGGCGTATTATTATTTCGGGTAAGAATTAGCTAGGGATCTCGCGGGATATAGCTGATAAGAAGAATAGTATGTGTAGATGATGGAATTAGCGATGTGATCCGAAATCTCGTCTAAGACATGCCGGACGATATGATCTCGTTGAAAGAGCTTGACTTCTGCCCCGCTGTAGCACTAAGAGCATATCCCACGGCGGCATAAGAAAAGGTGGTCATGACTGCGGTTCATTGGGATTACCACCGGGCACATTTGCCTTGCTGCCTTCTAGAAAAGACTGTTTTAGTACTTAGGATAGATTATGAGTATTCTAGTATGATAGGATTCTGTTTGTTGAAATTTTCGTATATCGTGGTGTAGAGACTTGGAGACTCCTAAGTTATTGCATAGGTCTCAAAGTGATTAGCCTACCCTATATTATTACGTTTGGTCCATCGTTAAAACCAGCCGAGGCAGCCTGAGTTGCTACTCCTATGGCTTCACTCTCGCCACCCTGGTCACAGGCTTGTCTTACGGCTTCTGTTTATCATTGCCGATCTTCGCATAAACGCCTATCTAAGCAACCACATACCTTCCTCAACTTAGTCCTAAATTATATCACGATATCGAACCTTTAGGATCATATCACCCAAAACACGCCAGACTTGCAGCGAACTCACCAAGGCTCACCAAAAATACAATATATAGTAATATATATTAATGCAAATTAAATTAAAAAGCAATATAATATTATAGCCATCGTATTTATATGGTTTACGCTCGCTGGTTTTATTACCCTACCTAATACTTTTATTTCGCTTTAGGCCTCTAGCTTTCTTACTAAGAAAATAAGTAGTAAGATTATTTAGGTTATAGTTAATAATACTTAGATACTACCGCTAGCTAGTGTTTTTTGTTTCATTAGGTTATTAAGTACCTGCTTTTTATAGGCAAAATTTCGAATAAATTATATCTAGCTAATTAGCAATTTATTCCTGTGAGTATACTAAAATTAACTATTTCCACGTGCTTATAGAGTACGATAGGCTAGGCGTTTTAAACTCCTATATTAGACTACTATCTACTCTTATAAATATCCTCACTATACAAAGAGGGTATATCTCTATAACTACAAAGATTACTATAAGTATTATTTCAGGGATATATAGAAGCATATTATATCTATGTATTATATATAACTAGTAGTTAAGTAAGATAATTAGTCTTCATAAAATAACAATGAGCAATAGTAATGAAGGTATATAGAGCAGGCATTTAGTTAATCAAGCTGTCAGCTTGATGGGTCGGGGCAGGTCTCACTTATGCAGGTTGGTGGCTCGGAACACTGATAACACCTCCCGCTGTAGTATTAGGGCCTAGATGCTCGATTGGATTCCACGATGCTGATAATTCTTGTATGATCTCCCCTCAGCTAGTGTAATAATAGAGTTACCATCTACTTTCCGGCTTGAGAGACTCATCCATCAGTAGTATAATAGCTTATGACACTCTGTATGTATTTAAAACCTTTCATCAACTACGGTACCAGTTATGAGAGTCCTCAGAGAGCAACCCAGCTTTGGCACCTTAGACCCAGACTAGGGCCCGAATGGTTTATCCAAGGCCTCAGGATATAAATAGAGGCTCCCCTTGCAAAACTTTAGATTAACTGTCGCACCGGCTGGGTGGCTCTAAGCACGCCCAATGATGCGGAAGCCAATTATCATCTGCAAGCGCTGCCCTTGTCTATTAGGGAGGCTCGCACAATCGAGGGGATAAGGTGGCCCTTCGGAATTATGTTTAACCCGATCCGCATTCTCGGGAGGCTCCCCATCGCAAGTCTCGATTTTCACCACACCACGTTGGATCTGAGCACAATCCTGTTTACGCCCCGACAATGAGCCGCAAACGATGTTGAAGGATCTTTCATTACCTCCAGCTCCTCTAATACCTCTCCCCCCAGCTTCTGCTATGTGCCGTCTGCTTGATCCCCATACGACTCGCCCCGATAGTCAATCTCGACTGCACATCGTTCATCGCCCGGCGCGTTCATGAAGTCGACGGTCGCGTTGCATTCCAGGCGCCATGTGGTTGTCGATGGCATCCCTCCACCGAGAGGCAAGCAACCGGACATTGTCAACCTCTCTTCTCAACCGATTTCTCCGGAACCCCCACCTCCTCTGCCCGGTCCTCAACCCATGACGACGAGAGCGACAGCGTCCTTGGATTCTACCTCGCAGCCGATTGCAAGTCTAGTGGTAAAGCGCACACCTCTGGAGAGTGTACTGTCACCAAACAAGAGACGCGACTCTCCCAGTCTGAACATCCCTCCAGCTGCTGCGTCGGAGTCGACCGGCCAAAAGGAAACAGTGTCTGCGGCATCTAAGCGATCCAGACCTGATGATGAGACTCCACCGACCATCCTGCCGCAGAGATACGAATTATGCGCCGCTGAGGACATAGTAGAATTGATTGCACACATGCTGGCGGAGTTGATCGCAAGAAATAACGCGATCCGAACCTCCAATCGTGGCTACACACGATTTCATTCAAGGTAAAACGCGCGGGCAAGACATCTGCATATAAAATCATCTAACACAAGTCGCAGAACTGCTCCCGGTATATCAGTGCGAGACTATTTACGCCGGCTGGCGAGGCATGCGACGCTGACGCCACCCTTGCTTTTGGCCATGGTCTACTATATCGACCGTCTGTGTACCTCGTATCAGGAATTCTCCATTAATGCCTTGACGGTACACCGGTTTCTGACCACAGCGGCTACCGTGGCTGCGAAAGGATTGTCAGACTCATTCTGGAACATCAAGACTTACGCCAGAGTTGGCGGCGTAGCGGCCTCAGAACTGAGGCTGCTGGAGCTTGAGTTTCTATACCGTGTGGACTGGAAAATTGTGCCCAACCCAGAGATTCTGGTGGCATACTACCATGGCCTAGTCGAGCGCACTCCAGCGTACATATTGGAGTCGGAGGGTTCCTCGGAAGACGATATCAACGAAGACGGCGAAGAACGTAACGGAGAGTTGGCCCAATAGAGTCATAACACCGACGATACGCCACTTTGCTGCCGGAAATAATATCATGCCACTATGCAAGGGCGATTTCGCCGATTAAGCGACTTATTCCAAGGCTCCAAACAGTATGTGATTTTTGCGTAATATACCGTCGAGGCGGATGAGGAAGGGCAGAAGCAGATGCGCCTGGGGCTTCAGAGACTCGCATGTCGCTGTAGCCGAGATAGAATATGGGGCGGCGGCTGGTCTTGCACGGAGTGGTATTGGGGTTCGGAGGGGGGCTGCTCGTCTCGATGTAGGGGTCAGGATTCCGGCGGAGATAGGATCCGCTTAATGTTGGCTTGCCGCCCAATTGTGAGCAGACATTGGCTATTGGTCCGAAGTGAGGACGGATGGTTGACACAAACTAAGCACGTTGTTTAGGGACGAAACTAGCAGTGCGAGTTCTCAGAAGTTTGAGGTGTGCAACATTGGTGTGGTCAGAAGGGATGATTGACATTGCGCTGCTTTCTTCTATCTCAGGGACTGACGAAGGTCGGTCTCTTATACCTATGTTCGGTCTGCCGATATCATAGGCAGCAGTCTGCTACCTGACGCTAGTTGTGGCGTTCACTATCATCGTGACCCTTGCCTCGTTCCGACAAGGTCCGATCTCTTAGTGCCGTCAATGTCGTATTCTGGCTTGCCGATGATGCAGGTACAATCGTCTGTGATGGCCAGGCTCGTCGTTTAATGCGAATGGTATCCTGGGACAGGTTGACGAAACGGGAGTGAATAACCCGGTGATTTAAAGCAGATAGGAGTAAAGCAGAGGCAGATAAGATATTGTACAGGATGGGGGGTGTTATTTCGGGGACCGAAATACAAGATGGCCCATCTCCTCAACAAACCACAACTCCCCACTCTCAACACCTTCCCCAAGCTCGCTGCCGTCTCCACCATGACAGACCCCTCTCTTGTCGGATCTGCAATCTGTCATCATTCTGACGGATAGTGTCTCGTGCTCTCTTCCCTTATTCGGATTGGCGAACTGCCCCATCTGCTCAAGAAGCGCTCGCATCCGCCAACCACCCCCGTCTTCATTTGCCCTTTGCCGAGCACCTCCATTTATAAACCCGGGCCAGTGTCCGGCACTCAATTTCAAGCTTAAAAGCTGCGGTCACTTCGACTCACAGAATGTGGGGCATTTCTATATTTCAACGCCTGCATTTCTCGCTGGTGTCGGCGTTTCGAGCGGGGAAAAACAAGGCGCAGAGCGCTGTGGGTTACCAATCCCACGTCACAACTCACAGCATCCTTGCTGACCGACGAAGAATCATGCTTCTGTGTACATTGACTGCTACGACAACTTACTATTGTCGGATTTTGTAGGGTTCCTTTGTTCCCGAATGCGTCCAGAAGTCGATGGCCGGTAACCGGAGCTTTAGGAATCCGTTTCCTCGTTCGAGCGGCCAGCCAACGACGAGTAACGCAATGGGAACCCTCTGCTCATGAGAAGGTGAATTCCAGTCCCATAAAGGGAGGGGAGGGAGGAAGAAGGAAGGAAAATAGTTGAACATGATCAGAAGCATCAGTCCTCAAGGGTCAAGCCGTGATATGTCTCAGAGTGCGATTGCTCGACAAGCGAATACGACGTGGGAAGGTAGAGTACCTTGTAGAATGGAAGGGCCGGCCGGAGATCGAGAAGCCATGGGAGAATGAATCGACGATAAGCCGTGTGCGGATCAAGGAGTTTAAGGAGCGACAATGAAATTTGCGAACGTGTAAACGTGTCGCGACAGGATTGGATGGGAACATGTTAGGTACTACATATGTCTCAAGAGTAGTTGGTACAGGAGTTATTTATTTGTCATTATTTACGATAGATCGTTGAGCAACGCATTAGACAAAGTCAGTGCTGCAGCCCCAGTCTGCTGGGCTGAAGACTTCTCCAGTGGTGTCTATTAGTAACTGTTCCTTATCGGCACTGCCCGTAAGTGGCCCCCCTATATCAACGCTGGACACTCCTGTGGGGATTTGGAAGCTGTCCCCTTCGTTAACTACCTCTTCGCTTTTTGTGGCTAGGCGTCCTCACTTGAGTCGGGTGCACATGGTTGAACATGTCGAGCTATTTCGCACCATGTCAAGGACCTTCCGTAATCAGCCGCGAGAGGATGGCGTAGGTGAGGGCCGGGATAAGGTACTAAAAATGGAGGCGGTCAAGTTTTGGGGCCCTAACGGTCGAAAGGCTGGAGTATCAAAACTGGGACCGCTTACGAGATTAAACAGAGCATCACTGCCGAGCTCTTACAGTTGGGAGCACAGACACCTTCCTCTTCGCACTAAGAGTCTCTGAGAGGTTGAGCGGCGAGACTTTCAGGTACGGGGGTCTACTTAGTAAGCGGTCAGTGTGTCAAATTGGGGCTGGAAGGTCAGCTTCAATAGGCGTGTAGTCCATTACTGGCTGAATGGCAAGGTACTTTTTGGTACTGGTAAGTATAGCCAACGCCCTAGCAGCCCAGTGCCCCATATAGACAGTGTGAGTCATCGACCTCAATACCTTGGGGCCCCATAGGGACACGGGTGCCCGTGGCTCCAAAATTTCACGGGTACCCGTGGGCATTATCTAAGCGTGCATGCGCTAACACTGCGACAACTACGAGATATGGCTATAGGCTTGTGTAGATCGGGTTAATGAGGAGGGATCGCAGCCGGATTGGTATATTAAGTGGCCCTATAAGGATGTTCTCCCGGGCGTAATAAATTCTACTGCTACTACTACTACTCCTGCTACTACGACTATAGGGCTGAATACTGTTAAATGTGGCCGCCTTCTGGGTGGTTATATGACTTCCCTCTTCCGGCACTAGGCCTAATTAGGAAGCGCGGATCCTACGCCTCCCTTTTTCAGAGTCTCGCCGAGAACACATAGAGAACAATAATAATACACATGACACAATATTTAGCAATAGTCATCTAGAAAATAAATAGCCATTCCCCTTAACCCTATTTTCCACTATATAATAGATAGATATCTAAAAGAAGCGTAGGGACTGGAGAGAAGTTTGAAGCAGGCACGCGATGTATTCGCGTTAGCGCATCCACGCTTAGATAATGCCCACGGGTACCCGTGAAATTTTGGAGCCACGGGTACCCGTGTCCCTATGGGGCCCCCAATACCTTGCCTGAGTCGCTAAGGTACATCTCCTGTTCAACCAAGCCACAAATCCCACTCACCAATGCACATGTTCGCCACATCCATCAAAATGAGGCTGGGCATTAGGACGCGTCCGAAGATCATGATCTCTTAGTACCTTCCAATCACCTAGCCGAATTTGTGAATAGCTTCATAGAATACCTTCAGTCGCCAGGGCTGGCTGAACTGCCAGTTTGCCAATGTCCTTGTCATGCTCACGTGATTAGTAGTCGTAGAAGGCTATGGAAGGCCATGGAATGCAAGGGAGAGCTTAGGACAAGTGTCCCTTGTGGCCCGTTGGTGCCGACAGCGAACCTGCGAGAAACGCCCAGGCAGCGTCTTGCGATGTGGCAACAATCATGAATCGGAGCGAGACTGCGAACGACTGGCCAAGTGACGATGCGAGCAACTCCGATTTTCCAGCGTCCGATAGCGAAGAGTCTCAGCCGGCAGCCTTCGCCCCAAGAAGCTGGCTGAGACCCGCCGGAAGTGCTTTAGCCTTCGTGCCATTTGCTGACTGGGAACCAGACCGGTCGTACGAAGGCCAACTAACGATACGCTACGGTGTGGAATGGAAATTAGTCGCAAAGAACAGGGTACAAGCTGGCGAACTCGGGCATTCTATACACTATTTAAGGAGCCATTGCCGAGTAATTGACTGTACCAGGCGATGGATGTCAATATCCTAGACTTTCACCTCCGACACAAAGGAAATGCTTTGACAATGCCCAGACCCTTGGTGAGCTCTACTGCTGCACTCGTCCCCGACTCTTTCGTCGCGTGTGCGTTGTGTGGTGGAAAACTGTTCACTCCCGACCTATAACAACTCCGTACCTGACCAAGCCTAGCACAGCCCCGAGAAGAATAGCCAGCGGCGCCGCAATGCTGAAGTATCGCCCCCCCACGTAAGCAGCCGCGGTCACGACCACCCACCATGGATCATCTGCCAGACTCTTCCCTGACTGGAAACCTTCATCGATGTAGCCAATCTGCCAGATCCGATACACGGCCGTATAGATAAGTCCGACAGCACCGGCATTAACGCCTCTCACTCCAGATTTTACCCAGCGCCTACTTCGCAACACCCCCCAGACCCCCATTGTTCCGTGGACGAGGACGATGCCTGGAAAAAAGATGCCACAAAATGCGATGAGTGCTCCGGCAATGGAAGAATACCCGCTGTGAATAGCTGTAAGGCCGCCTAAGAACACAGCGAAGTTGAAGTTTGGCCCCGGGAAGGCCTGTGCAATAGCGAGACCAATAAGGAAATCGCGCGGACTAACCCATCCCTCGGCCACGATATATTCCCTGAGGAGCGGAATTACTACCGGTCCGCCGCCGAAAATGATGGTGCCAGCAAGGTAAAGGTTCGCGAATAGTTTGTATAGCAGGGGGGGATCAGGCAAAACTCCTCGGAGCACCATAACGATGATAAAGGTAACGAAGAATGCTGCAATGAGCGCAGTTCCAGACTTCCATGAGAAATTGAGACGATACTCATGTGGTACGATGCGGGGCTCAGACTCCCGTGTACCATACCGATCTTGATCATTGAGAGTTATGCTGGTGGCATTTGTCTCTCTGCTGGGTCCGCTTTCGTCTCCTGCGATATTCTCTCCTTGAGTAGGCGTCGTGCCTTGCATCCTGGAGACGAGCTGTTTTACAGCTCGAATAGGTCGGTGAAACCAGCGGTAGTCGTATACGACAGCAGCGAAGCCGGCGGCAAACATAAGGACCGGGAAGTACCATAGAGCATTGTATAGCATTCCAGCTGCGGCAGTCAGAAAGACGAGAATTCTGGTGAGCTTGTCCGTGATTGCTTTATTCGACAGCTCGACTGCTGCCAGGGCAATAATCCCAACCGTGGCAGCGTTAAGTCCCGAGAGCAGAGCATATACTGGACGAGGAAGAGTCTCTCCGATATTGGAGACGCCGATGGAGAGGCCAAACATGCCTAGCGTGCCAGGCAAACTATCGGCCAAGGTCTTTAGCTCTGGTCCCTAACTATCCATAGACATGGAAGATGTAAGTTTCTGGCTCACCTCCAAATAAAAAAGGCAAGGACAGCTCCAAGTAAACCATCATGGATCAGATTTATACAGTATAGCATCTTGGTGCTAGCAGGGCCAGATAGAGCTTGGGAGATGCTGAAAAGTTCCTGGTACTGAAACATGTTGGTTAGTTTTCTTTGTTCGATGAACTTGAACAGCGTGCGACTATATTGTACATACCAGCTGCTCGTCGATCCAAGCGAGCTTCGATACGAACTTATCATGAAACTATCGCATTGTCAGGCCTAGTTAATAAGATGTGTGGCGGGAAGTGTTTGCTCACAATCTTGAAATGAACAGGTGGTCCGCCAAACGCGGTGAAGCCGAGATGCCAATTGACTTGGATTGTCTCCCAGGTACGGCGCCCGACTCTCCGCGCCGTGTATTCCCAGTTGTTGACGACCATTGTGGATACGTAGACTTTGTTGACACTCCTTCTCGACGCTGGCAGAGGCCGGATTTGGTAGCACGTTTGGATAGATCGGAGATGCCGTCTTTACCAAGGAGATCGATAAGTCTGCGGGCTTTGCAGGTCGCGAGTTGCGGGTGTGGCGGGGAAATACCGTATCTCGAGTCGCCATGGCAAAGACGCGGAAAAAGAAGAACTCAAGGCCCAAACCAAAAACGGCACGCCAGCCAGCCTTCGCAGCTGATCCACAGAATGAGAGCATGCTCTTTGAACTCCTCCCTCAAGAACTTCGCGATAAGATATACTCGCATGTCTTCTTTTCTACAAGGCTTGCTTACGGTCAGAGAGCAGTCAGCCAAATCGATCGCATCAGGATCAAGCCCGCTCCAAACGCTCTGGCTTCCACGCTCAGACTTCTCCCAGGCCTTCGCCTCGATATACTCACAGTACTTGGCCTCCGCACGAAGGAAGTTAGCTACGATACTTTGAATAGTCTCATAAGGGAAAGCTGTGGGTGGAAGGAACTTCAGTACATCAGCCACAGCTCAGAAGTGCTGGGATTTGCGAAGCTTGAGCGGCTTCACTTTGGCGATGAAGTTGAGAAGCATAGATACTGGCGTAAGCCTCAACCAGAACACTGGCAGAGTATCTTAGAAGACAGAGACGGTGCTCTATCAAGGCCTCCAGTCGCCATTTACCGTTCAACTGTGTCTGACTGTCCCGGCTCAGTCATTAATGTGAACGCGCGCGCGCGATTCGAACAGAAGATGCCCGAAGACACAGCAGCACAAGAAGCCTTTGGCATAGCAGAGGATGCAGGACTAATGGCTTATGGCGAGAGAGGCAAAAAGATTATGATCATCGTCAAGAGAGGGGCCGGTGTTAATTACGAACAAAAGAAAGACTCGCGATTCATTCAAAGCGATATTCGCCGGGATATGCCAGGGAAGACTTGGAAGGAAATTCGATACGAGTGCATCGATCGCATCTTCGTAGATGATGATTCACGGTTAAGGGATGACAAAGATGAGGAGGAGACTCCAGAGATTGATGAACCCACAAGCCTGAATGGAGTCTTACTCCGTACGGAGTACAGTGGGGGACAAAGCGCGATTCACTGGGCATTTTAAAGGTGACTGTCTAGGAGGGCAAACACCAAATGTGCAACACACATGCAGACGACCTCAGTCCTTGAGCTACCCGTGTCATTACCAGAAAAACTAAGGGTTCCGACCGTCGGAGGAGAAAGAGTATGTTGACTGCTGACACGTCAGCATTGTGAAGTTGAAGGTACTGAAAGCTTGCTTCTGTGTGGATTTTACTCTTCCTGGGAAGACGCAGCGCTGCTGATGGGGCGAACTAAGCAGCTCAAGCCGCAGGCCGGTGGCGAGCTAGGACATCCGTCCAATGTCAGCATGGGTCATGTCAATCAGTTCCCAGAGTGAGGAGGAAGGCCGCTCCATGTTGGGCCAAAACGTCATTGAATGCGAAAACGAGAATGAGCCTGCCGACAAAGTAACTACATAGCCAATCTGAACCCTAAGGAAGCCAAATGCCGAGCTGATCTGGCCTTGGCTGAGCTGAACTTCAAGAGAGATCCGAAGCCTCTCAAACTATCAGCAGGTGCTAGCTGTACCGAGCGTTACCCATCAAGCGCTGTGCTGAGGCACTGGTGAGGTGTGCTAGAGTGCCACCTTCAGTTAAAAATAGCATTGACTGCAACAAACTTGGGCCCGGGGAGAGTGCCGTACCACGCGATCATTTCCCCAATGAAGCCTCTTTGCGCCACTCACAGTCCTCCCGTAGTTCACACCAAGCGTCATAGCCTCCCCCAGATGGTATCGGTACTTGGGCTTGACCTTATTTCTGGCCCTTCCCTTGACACGAGCGCGCGCATGCTCAAACAAAAGAAGAATGAGGAGAAAGGGGGCGTTTTGGGATTAAAGAGAATAACCCGATAAAAAGATCACCAATGGGTGCCTTAATCCATCGCTGTAGCCAAGCATAATCCTCCGTTCTTGCCAGCATTAGCATTGCCCTGCCCAGCCAAAAGTACCTTGTGTCTCCAGCCTGTCTGAGACTCCCCCCCTCCCCTCCCCCCCCGCCGGGGCCGAGTCCCACGTAACCGTCAATTACCACCATCCCGCGGCACCCATTTTTAACTCCCCAAGTTCCCTCCACCGACTGGCTCCCGCGTAACGATGCAGCAAAAAGACAAAAAACAGAGACACTCTGCGACGCCAAACGAGCGACCAGAGATCAGCCGCCGAGGACCCCGTCTCCATAACTCGTACTCATCCCCGCTGCAAGCCCGACAACCGCCCTGATCGGCGCGCCCTCGCTTCTCCCACCCCCCGAAGCAGTCAAGCCTGGCTCCTCTGGCTGCCCTTTACCATGTCCGAGTGACCCACAAAACGGGGGGAGTTTGTGACGATAGAGCGAGAGAGAGGCGCGACGAGTTCAAGTTTCAAATAACCTTAACCTTGTGCTCTCCCCCGATCTGATCTTCTTTCTCCACCTCATCCTCCAAATCATGCACCAATACTACAAAATGGTCGACTCGGGTATAGGAAATATCACTGGCAGCTTACGGCGTCGCTTCTCGGTGCGGCTCATCATCTCCTACGCCTTGGACTGGGCCATCCTCATCTTCGCTGCTGCCATTGGCGTCGTATTCGACCGCATCGAGCCCGCCAAACGACCCTTTTCTCCCGTCGACCCCAACATCGCGTGAGTCCAATACCATCCCAATTGCGAGCATCAGGCTGACCATCGCTCTACATCTACAGCTTCCCATACACCGAACATGAGCTCGTTCCGATCTACCTACCCTTCATCCTCGCCATCGGTGTTCCCGCTGTCATCGTCGCCGTTGTCTTCTTGATATTCGTTCCTAGACCAACTGTCCCCAACGGCACACCCAAGACGCTCATCTGGCACCATAAGCTCTGGGATTCCATGTCGGCTTGCTCGGCCTCGTTTTCGCCCTCTCTCTAGCATGGTTCTTTACAAGTGCCATAAAGAACCTCTTTGGCAAGCCCCGTCCCGATCTTCTGAGCCGGTGCTACCCCGACTGGAAGAACGTAAAGGATCATATTGCTGCCAGCAATATGCTGGCGGCTACAGCTGGGGCAACATGAACGGTCAGCTCGTCTACGCCAGTATTTGCCAGCAGACAGACTCGTACAAACTCGACGACGGCTTCCGCTCTTATCCCAGCGGCCACGCCTCCTCCGCGGCCGCTGGCCTAGTTTACGCCTCGCTCTTCCTAGCCAGCAAGTTCTCCGTCACCATCCCCTTCGTTATGCCTTCAGCCGCTGCAGCTGCGGGCGCTACTGGAGCTGCTTCTCACACCGCCTTCCCTTCCCACCTTCGCCCTGAAGCTGATCCCTACGAGCCCACTCGCGCCCGCGGCTTCGATGACCGATCTGCCACCTCGTCGCTCACTACCAAGGTCTCGCCCTTTGGCGATATTGGCCAGCACAACGCCGAGATCCAGTCTCTTCGCCGTCAAGCCGCTGCTCCCCCCATCTACCTCCTCGTCTTCACCCTCCTCCCCTTCGGCGTCTCCATCTTCATCGCTGGCTCCCGTTGGTATGACATGCGCCACCACGGCTTCGATATCCTTTTCGGCTACCTGATGGGTGTTATCACCTCCTTCTACGCCTTCTACTACTATCATCTTCCCATCCGCGCCGGCGCAGGCTGGGCCTGGGGCCCTCGCAGCGACGAACGCGCCTTCTGGGCCGGCGTTGGCCGTCTGGGCTATGCTGGTACGGATGAGGAGTTGGGTATTCACCCTCGATGAAACGACGTGGGCATTTCTGGTGATACTTCGTACCCTCCCATGAAGTCTACCCTTGCGCAGCGTAATGTGCAACACCATGATGATCAGGGCAGTGAGGGTCGTCCGAGCCAGAACTTCCAGGATGTTGAGCAACAGCGGATGGACGAGGCGGATCGTGCAGAGAACCGGTTTCGTGAAAACCGCGTCTAGGGCCGCCTCGTTTCGATTTGTAATTTCTTTTTGGCATGGAAACTCTATGGAAATGTGCGTGTGTGTGTAATTCATTCAGGGTACATGCACGGTATTTCCCAGGATATGGGCAAAAGTGGAATCTAGACGCAGGACAGCCTTGGGTGCGTGATTCGGAAAGCGAACGGCTCTAGACAGATAGATCTTGGTTTTGGCACGACATGACACGAACAATGAAATGACCGACTCAATCGAATGAGACATGTCTGTGTGAGATTGTCAGTGAATGCGCTCTGGTGAAACACCTGGATGCATTCAGATCCTCATTGGCTCGAAGCAGCCTGTGCGATGGAAGACGCCAGGTTGATGAACAAGGTGATACAATATCGAGCCGTAAATTCTTTGTAGGTGTTGTAAATGTGCGGCAATAAGAAGACCGAGCCTTCATCATTGGTGGCACTTTTGGCGGTGCCATAGCGGTGCACTTGTGGTTCCGCAGTACCAGTCGCAGCGAGCGCATTCTCGTGCTCGAGGCCGGTCCGTTCCTTCTCCCCGAGTATCTTCAGAATCTACCGTCGCTAGGACTTGGAAGGGAAGTGTGGGGGTTGCCTTGGAGATCGAACCTAGATGTCGGACTGGCGTACTGCGTCGGAGCGATCGGTCTGGTGGGGTGGCTGGTCTCCTCGCCCACTCGACTCGGAGATGCTAGCAGGAGCCTTGGCCGGAAACCGTGCTGGGCGATCTCCGCCACGTGAGACTACCAAACGGAAGCAATGGCTACTTTCGTCAATCCAGTCAGCAAATCTCCTTGAGTGCGTTAAGGCTACAAACCTGTCACTGCATCGGACCGGTTAATCCGATTCGATTGCATAACATGATATATATTACTAAGAACGCACAACAATATGCGATTAAACCGGCTGTTCTTTATGACGCAACCGGTACGGGTTGTAGCCTTAACGCACTCAAGGAGATAGGCGCAACATCCACCAACCCGAGCCCCCCCCACCTGACCCCAATGCCCCGCCATAACGTGGGGCGCTCCTTAGTGACCTACCTTGAGGACGCGCCCAAGAACAGGGAATGATATCACATGACGACAGGCTAATTACCAAACCACTGCAACAAAAGTCCGGGCAAAGGGGGCCAACATCAAACAGACAGCAAGTACAGAATTTTGACATCACAAGCAAAACGGCCCGCGACACCGACACTCCCGCCCGTGGTCAGCTCCACGGCGTCCCTTCCTTACAACCATGACTAGATCCACCACTGATTTGCCCGGACCACACCTTGACAAAAATCCCGCCTGCGAAATTGACGATGACTCCCTTGTCTTGAATCGCGACCAAGCTCAGCAAGTCCACGAGTCTCGCCATAAGACCAAAAGGGTGGCAAGTGTCTCGAATCTCCATTTTCCTTGTCTAGTCTGACGCTGGACGAGGAGCTTCCAGAGCAAACGTGTGCGTGGACCCCGCTAACGTGATGTTACAGTGCCTAACCCAAACCTCCAACGTCGCGAAAACATCTCGATTGACCGAGAACAAGCGTCGCTACCGAGCGCGCCGGAAAGAGTACGTGTCGGATCTCGAGCGAAGGCTAGCAGAAGCGCGAGAGCAAGGAGTCAAGGCGACGACGGAGGTACAATCGGCGGCACGGAAGGTCGTCGAAGAGAACGGGCAGCTCCGGGACCTCCTTCGGCTGGCTGGCTTCGCTGACGAGGACATCGACATATGGACGAGGCGCGAACACAGTGGGGATTGCACCAATAGAGCGGATTGCGCTCGAAGGCGAGAAATAGAGCGGATGGCCAGGCTATGTGCGGCATATACAGCTAGCCGCGGAGGAGGGACCATAGAGGGGGAAAAGACATCGTCATTGAGCAAGACCAACAGGGAGAGAGAGATGGGTCAGGCTGGAAATATATCGGAGGTCACCTACATACCATCAAGTACCGAGGAGGCACTGGTTACCGAGCCAACCCCCTCCAACCGCCCAGACTTCGATACAGCGGCTGCCTGCCCATCACCCGCAACGAGCGAGGCTTCTGCTGCTGCACTGGTAAAGACTCACACCTGCCATGAGAAACAACCAATGCCCTGCAAACTTCTTTCACGTCTCGCCGAGAATCCTGCTACAGATATCACTCAGGTCCCAGTCCCTCCATGCTTAGTTGATCCTCTTCAGGATGCTACAGACCATGGAGGGGATGTTGAGTGTGGAAAGGCGTATGAGATGCTCATGCGCTACGCGACATCTGAAGAGAAGATGGATACCGTTGCTCGAGCATTGGAAGGTGGCTGCACTTCGACTGGGAAGGGTGGCTGTGTCGTCAAAAAGAATGCTATCTGGGAGGCTCTCGATAGTATGTGTGGGTGAGCTCTTGACACGATCCCGCGTCACGTAGGCTGAAACTGGGTGCACCGAAAGCACTTTTGAATTCCCAGATCAACAAGCTCACGCCTTGAATGTAACAAAGGATATGGCACTCTATTCCTACCTTACCTACTTTTCTTAGCTGGATATCACGAACTGAATCAAATGGAGCAATAGGCATGCGGTGATGAAGTTTGAATGGAACACAAGCCATCATATTCATGGACAGCAACATCGCTATACATTCGCTGCCTACCCATGCTCCAAGTCCAATGAACAGCCAGGAGTCCGTCCCTCTCGGCAGCCAATCGCAATGTGTCGTATATCAAGCCCTGGCCCCACTAGAGCAGCTGCCTTGCAGGCAACTGCTACTGCCTAAACAGGCAATGCTTTCATATGTGTATAAAGAGCTGCACGACTCAGTGCATCTTGTCACTGAGTTCTTGCTCCTTACATAATTCTCATCAATTTACTGATGCCACCCCTGATCCCTGTGGAGCCAATTGTCTGACACAATGGTATTTCCCCCCTCAAATACAACCGAGCAAGCTCGGAGATAAGTGACCCCACCCAGAACCTACCGCGCAGGAGCGGGGTTGCCAACTGCGTCATCCCCCAGAGTCGGCTGTACAAGGATGGAAGAGGCGGTCATCAGTATGACCAGCAAGTCTCTCGAACCCACTTTGAATCGTGCCTGCACATCGGGGTCACTATCCGTACATTGGAGCTCAAGCATGCGTTCCCAGGATGCAGTTGGTGTTGGAGCGCACGGTTGTGATTGTGTCAACCAATTAAAATTGCGGTGTCCGTCTCTAAAGCGAACAGTCTCCACGCTCGGCCGAGCTTCGCGGGGATTATTAGGTTTGGGCTTGAGCGTGATCAGCGCCCCGCTTTCTGGTATTGGCCAATCGCGTTAAATTTAGTCTGTGGATCCGAGATGCGGGCATCTTCAAGCACGGCGAATGCTGTCTTAGCTTACTGGCCAATCAAAGCGCTCCTGTCCGTCCATTCTGTCTCAATCTTTCCTGGCGAGAGCCGGAAGACCGTAGGAATTTACTTGTACAAAAGCCAGGCAATGCGAGCCACACACAGCAGTCAGGGCTCTCACTATGACTCACGAGACAAGAGGACTAGGATTTCTACCCAATCGCCAACACCTTTCCTCCCAATGGCGGCCGAACTAACACCCTCGAAACCAGTTGCGACAATGTTGCACGACAAAAAAGGGGACGAAGAGTCTCAGAAGATTGACTCTCTCCAGCCCGACTGCAGAGAACCTAATTCTGACACACCTCGTTCTGACATACCTCGTGCTGAAGACGACCAGGGATTCGAGGATAACTCCAGCGTCCCTAAACTATCGTATCCGAAACTTTTCTGGTTCTTCTTCTACAACTTCGGCCTCTTCGCTTGGGGGGGCCCTGTCGCGCAGATTGCCCTGATCAAAGAAAGGCTTGTGATTCAGGACAAGTGGATCACCCTCCCTCGCTTCCAGCGCGTCTTCTCCGTCTACCAGATCCTGCCCGGGCCTGAGGCTGCCGAATTGTGTATGTTCTTCGGTTGCTTGTCTGCGGGTAGGATAGGTGGGATTGTTGCCGGGATGGCATTCATCCTGCCGGGGTTTGCGTTGATGCTTCTGGCTAGCTATTTATATTCCCTGGCTGGTTTTGAGAATAAGTACTTCAATGCTTCGTTTCGGGCTATGCAGCCTATCGTCGCGGCAATGGTAGGCACTTCATCTATTCAAGCACCATGAATATCTTAGGTCCTCCGATTCTTACACTAAGTTCCAGATCTTAAGAGCGACTCACAAGATAGCTGATCACTCCGTGAGAAAGCATGACACGAAGGAAATTGACCCGTTTCTCGTGATTGCAGCCATCTGTACGGCAGTCAACGGCGCACTTCGTATTAACATGTCAGTATTCCCATTCCTACAAATTAAACGCCACCAGACTATAGATGCTTCTTACCGATGCCTAACTACGTTCCGCGCTTTCAGAGAGCACGCTGACTCCGTTAACCCTTCGTAGTTTCATCTCCCTTGGCCTCTATGGCATAATCTACACTTTCATCGCCAGGCGCCTCTGGATCCCTGCGGCCGCGCTCTTCATCCTGCAATATGTCGGTTACGCAATCTATGTCGTCTTCCGCGGCGTGCCGTCACCCGTGTCGTTGGCCCTCGGTATCGCTCAGACACCCTCGCTGATCAACCTCTTCGTGCTAGGCCTGGTGGCAGGCACGCTGTCGTTCGGCGGCGCGTATACGGCCATCCCGTTTGTGCAGGTCGAGGCCGTCTTGATGGGGGCGTGGCTCCCGCAGAGCGTGTTCATCGATGGCATTGCTATTGGGAATATCTTGCCAGCACCACTGGTTATTTTTGCAACATTTGTGGGTTTCCAAGGTGCGTACTTGGATGGGTCGATTGGCAACGCGTTTGCGGGGGCGATTATTATTACTCTGGGGATGTTTTCCCCTTGTTTCCTGTTTACTATTGCGGGGCATGAGTTGTTGGAGAAGTTGGTTCGAAATAAGGTCAGTAGAACTCTGACTCAGCTCCCTCGTCACTATCCCTTCCGTTTTGAGCGGCTCTAGCAGTAACCTCGCTGACGGCCACCTTCCGGCAAACAGTTCCTCGCCAGCTTCTTTGACGGCCTATGCGGCTCGGTCATTGGTGTCATAGCCATCATCGCGGCGCAGATTCTCAAGGCCAGTATCGAGGGCTCTCTGGAAAAGGTGAAGGACAAGCCAGTTGGTGAGGTGATTGACACAGCCACTCAGGTCGGCCCGGCGGCGGTTCTGTACATGCTTGCCCTGGCGGTTCTCTACAAGTTTACTAACAAGTACACTGCACTCTTATTAGTTATCATGGGTGCGGTCGCGGGGCAGTTTCTCTTTGTAGACTAGGTGATGGATTCTCCCTGGTGTGCTTATCGAGAGATTGCATGGCGACTTGACCATCTAGATTCAACATCTGATCCATCTGTAAATTACATAAAACGTTTCCGCTACGCTAATGTTCCTTTGTCCGGTTTTGTCGATCTGCTCCGCGGCCTTTCTCTATTCTCCTTCCACTCAGCAAGGCAGACGCGGGTGGATTCAGGAGGGTGAGCCCGGTGAGCAAACCCTCCGAGCCAAGGATGGGTAGACCCCATGTCCGCCGGCCTCTCCTCGATGGACTAAGCCCGTTTATGGGACTCTGGATTCTCTGACCCTCGATGGATCGCGTCTTTCGGCTACTGACGATTGCCTCGAGCTGCTGGCTGTGCACGGCATGTAGCAAAATTTGCAAAGCGGACAAGTATTGTGCTGTTTCAGGAACCACTTCGTGAGGCAATTTGAATGGAAAATGTGGCCGCATGGCAAGTGACGGACCACGTCCCTTTCCTGCCATGTCTGCAAGCAAATGACGCTAGGTAAGGAGTTAGAGCCTAAACACGTGGTTGGCCGGTTTGTTGGAAGCCCCTACCAGAGGAGAAAGGTGCTGGACCATTCAGCGGAGTTTCCGGCATCATCGGTTTCGGCTTTCCATGTCTTGTATGTCCGGGCTGGAATTGCTTGATCTAAGTCCCCGATTGAAAAGAGACGTCTCGCAGCCTCTAGATCATCCTGATAGACGCCCACCCATTCACGTTCCAGTCGCCATACTACATACCTTTGGCCTCTGTTAGTTGTCGAGTCGGGGGAAAAACAGCTGGTGAGCCCATTGGCGCGCGAGGAGGAACGGACCAAGAAAAGAAGACTATCAGGGCTATGATAAACACAGCGCTGAACAAGATGAGCAGCGAAAGATATTCCAGCTGCGCAGGTGAGACTCCCTCGTCGGTGCTCATGTTGACAGTCCGATTATTAATAAAGGTCTCCTGGTCCATTGAATCAGGATTGTTGTCTTGGCATTTCCGTTATGCACCGTGGGAGGCGATTAGGGATTTCGCAGGGCCTGCTTTATGTTCTGCGAGCATCCGGCAGAAAGCATCCGGCAGATACGGTCGCAAGATGGCAGTTGACTGACGGTCCCCAGTTCTAGTAGGCCTAATCGTGGCATTGATGGGCCAATGGCAGCCCTGGAGCTGACATACCAATGACGCTAAGCAGACGCCTCCATCGCCGACACGTTCTGTGAGTGTGCGGTCGACCTTCCGTGGTCCCATCCAGGTCAGACTCTGCTTTGTCCTCGGAGTTGTCATTGCATCAGATGTTACCGAACAGAAATTGCCATAAGTTCTCGTGGCTTTTCCGCATCATCACCGCCTCTCTAGCCCACGATTCGCCTCAACTAACACCATATTTTGAAAAGGAGCTCTCAAGGAAACATTTGCCTTCCCGTAGTTCCCCACGCCCTACGACTTACATCTAATAAATTGGCCTGCTCATGGGAGACAAGACCAAGGCATAACCCTGTGCAACCCACCAGCAGCAGGTCGGATTGCATGACACTGGTTCTCTCTGGGTAATTAGATAATAGAACACAACAATTTTGAAGAGTGATTTAGCATTGCAGGAACGCAATCTGCCCTTCAATCCACATGCATCGTAACACATAATTACGATGGCGAAAACGGAGGTTTTTGTCTAGAATTTGGCCGCAAAGATTGGGCAGGAGGTGCGTCCCGGAGAACCCAGATGCGGAGGCAATCCTCCGAGGACAGCCGCGGGACCTGGTGGCCGTAGTTGTACTCCGTACCTCGTGCGGAGCCTTCAATCAGCGGCGCCTAGCAGAAATGTCGTGTGGTCTCCACCCTTAAAGGAGCTTAATCATGCGGATTTGTTGCGTGGACAATCCACCCGAGTACGCCCACTACCTAGGTATCTTCGACGGCAAGGAAATTTACCCAGATTTTGAATACATCAAGTAGAGGGTTCCGTAAAAGCAGCACTTGACGGAGAGGTCAAGGGGTTGGCCAAATAGGGAATACACGTACTATATACCTGAGAGAGTCGCCCCCACAAGTATATTGGAGAAACAAATACCGAAGCGTTTATCTCCTCAGTGCCCAGGAATCTGCAACCCGGTATTGAAAGCGAGGTCGGCCCAATTAAAACACGCACAAGCTGAGGTACATTAACTGCCACCTATTTCCTTATGGAGATAGAGGTACCAGCACTTATGAGCTGTTACAAATCGTGACTTACTCTGCCCTATAGATAGTGAGTGAACTTTCTGTAGCCTCCTTGTATCCACGTTATGACAAGGCTGATGTGGGGCTTGGTACGAGGGTGCACACTTCTGGGCACTGAGGAGATGACCAGCTGCCCTATTTACATCTTCAAACTAATCTTTTGCGTGGTTTGCAACGACGAATGCAGTGCCTCAGCCAGTTCGGGTAGGGGTAGTTTTTGGGGTGGGCTTGGGCATCACAACAAGGAGAGGCTGAGGAGCGTTTATTTTCTTCTGGGATGGGGTTTCAGGCAGAGCGGCTGTAACACACGTTCATTGGTGAGCAATAGTCGGAGCGCCCTCGGCGGCCTCCGATCGATACACGTCATGGAGGGGCAGGAAAATGCATCCACAACAGCGAGAACGAAACTTTCGGAAATTCGACTAATTTTTGCACGCAAATGCAACCTCGAGAGTACGATTGAATAGCCCAGTGTCCGGCGCATCGCCCAGTGCAACTCGGAGTCCATGACGACCTCGTGGCCCCAAGAGAAAACCTGGCCGACCCGGAGCTCTGCGGAGCAAGTCGACTCCCTCAGCGGTGCTACCACCTAATAGCGATCCTAGATACCTGGGCTGAATGGGCGGTCGTACGACGATAACGATTCCTGGTGATGAAAGTAAGCTCCCGACATTCCCACCGTTAATGGCCGTTCTGCGAGGCTTCTTGCCGTATCGGAAGTCAGCAATGCATCGTATTCAGGGGCGCTGGACCTAGACGAATGATTGATATTAGCCTCCGGATATTCCATTGTCCAGCACGCAGCCTGTGATCCGAATACGTGCCTGCTGATCATTTTTACCGATTATCCTAGCGAGCACGGCGTAGAGAACTGAGAAAATGGAGGGGCACATAATGGATAATACTTCAAGTAGTTAGCTTGATCTTTTGCTGAGAGACTCACACAAGACAGTATAGATCAGTATTAGCGCATGGAAGGAGGAATAAATGGCATCATGTGCTCAAAAACGTGAGATCCCTTGTTGCCAAATCCTTTCGTGTTAGGCACACTCATAGAAGAATAACTCTCTCAAGCCTGAGGGCAGAGAACCTGCCTCTAGCATACCTTATTCTAAAGACGACTAGGGACTCGAGGATAACTCTAACATCTCTAACTATTATATCCGAAACTTTTATAAATTATTTTCTATAACTTCGGCTTCTTCACCTAGGGTGGCCTTATGACGTAGATTAAGTACCACAACACTCCATCCCTGGCCGCAATGGTCTCTGTGAATGGTATTTGTAAGTATGGGCAATTGATATGACATGGTAGAGTGGCGAAGTCTATGGAGGCATCTTGAGACACCAAAGGTAGGTAGCTTAAGTAGCGAGATTGTTACTTAAGGGGAAGAAATCCTCGGAGTTGGATTGATTAGCTTCGGTGATTAGATGGAAGCTGTTCCTCCTTTGTGATTAAGGTTTCAACAAAAGGAGAGGAAAAAGAGGGGTAATTTGTGCGATGGTGGTAATTAGAGCCTGGGAGATCTTTGTTTTTAATAGGGTGATCTTCTTAGCCATTGATCAGTTGCCGTCTCACTTGGATTTTGAGCTACCAGAAACAGGAATTACCCAAGAGCTTGAAAACCATCATCGACCAGAGCCAGGTGTCGAGTCCGTTAATCTGTCAAGGGCGACATACCTCGTGGAAAGAGGCTTGCGGATGTGGGACCAGACTTGCATCTGTCCCCACTCACACCCTCTGCAAGCACCATGGCAATCCTGGGAATTGTACTAGTTAGTATGGTGACAGGCAGACGTAAGCGATATGGCATAATCATTAGTATGCGGTCCCCTCATGGCGCGTTATTAATGCGCCCCAGGCCAATTACAAGGGCTCCCTTTGCTGTGCCCCGCAGGACGTTCTCCTGCAATTGCTGTGAACTCGGAGCAGACCCCGCCGTTGGCCAAACCCTGTCGTCACGATTAGACTTTCTGGTCTCCTCGTGATGTCTTGGCTGCATGAAGATTCTACAGGAAGGGGATTTTGCATGTGCTAGGCATGAAAACACCTTCATGTGGACGTGCATCGGAATCGTGACGGACCGCATTGATTTTACTATCTACTTGAGCTCACTATCGCGATGACAATACTGCCAGACCTCCCGAAAATGATGGAGTTCAGATGAGACATCTCTCGTTTTCCAGCTAGCTCGATGGCGAAGAGTAGCGGTCGATAAGATGTCTGGCAATGCTGCACCCTCAATACGGTGACATGCGGAGGAAGTTGCTGTTTGCCTTCCTGGAGGCTTAGGTGGCGGCTGCGGATAACCCCGCCCTGGCCCACCACGCTCGCCCCCCCGAACTATGATTGCCTTGCCACCGACTGAGGTCTTCGATAAAACTCTGCTTGTCGTCGTCGTCTCTTCATGGTGTGATTTGTATAAAAGACCAATACCGCTCAATGGAACATTCAATTGGAACCTTCAACTGGCTCTTGTCAATGCGAAAGCAAAACAAAGATGACGGGAGAAGGTGATCGTGAGGGCATTTACGACGGATCCGTCGTTGTACCCAATGCGTCCGAGGCGTCACCGTTGTTGGAACCAGACACGCCGAAGCCAGGTTATGTCACACTTCCAGAGTCTCCTTGTGATGAGAACTGGAAACCTTCCGAAGGCTTCTGGTGGATCGAGACAGGTGAGTGCAGGACAGTGAATTGACAAATAAAGGGCCAGGACTGATCTGGAATGAAACGAGCAGCGCTATGGGCCAATGTTCTCCTGTTAGGCTTTGACGGTACAGTCACGGCCTCAACATATGTGTTGATCAGCTCTGACTTCGGTGCTGCCAACAATGCATCATGGTTGACGACTTCGTACTTGATCACGAGCACAGCTTTTCAGCCGCTCTATGGCCGCTTTTCCGATATCTTCGGGAGACGTGTGTGCTTCTTGGTTTCCACCGAGACTTTTATGGTCGGCTGTGTTGGCTGCGCAATGGCACAGAGCATGTTTGTGCTGGACATCATGAGAGCCCTGACAGGCTTTGGGGGAGGTGGTCTCATTACTATGGGTAAGTTTAAGAAACGAGACCTTAATAGGAACACTTGTTGAAGACTGACTTGGCAGCAACTGTTGTCAATTCTGATATGATCCCATTGGGGCAGAGAGGCATGTATCAAGCCATGCAAAACACTCTGGTAGGATTCGGAGCAATCTTGGGAGCTTCGCTCGGTGGAGTGATTGCAGAGAGCATTGGTTGGAGGTGGTGTTTCCTTCTGCAAGTCCCTGTGTCGTTGCTTGCTCTCATCGTCGGGTATCGTGTGCCGGAGAACCCTATTGACACAATCCTGGAGTTTGCACCGGAGCGCAAGGTTCGCTCCGCGTTGGAGTATCTGGATATCTCGGGCGCCTTCATCCTCGTGCTTGGGCTTATGGCCCAGCTCGTAGGACTGAGCTTTGGTGGTAATGTCTACCCGTGGAAGAGCCTTCCAGTCATTGGTAGCTTGGCACTCAGTGGTGTTTTGTTGGTTTCGTTCCTGCTTGTGGAAGCTAAAACCAAAGCCATTCCTGTGATTCCGCTCCAGATGCTGAATGGATGGCAACCCGTTGCAGTGCAGCTGACCAATCTCTTCTCCGGCATGGCCTCCTACGCTGTGTGTAGCATGCACCATCGGCCTTTGATCTCCAGCTGATTATCTTTTCGCAGTATATGTTCATGATCCCATTGTATTTCCAAGCGGTTCGTGGCGACTCTCCATCAACGTCTGGGGTTCGCCTCATGATTCCGTCTCTTGCAACGCCAATTGGAGGTGTTCTCGCGGGGACGCTGATGCGTCAGGGTTGTCGACTATCACTCAATGTTCGGATGGGAACCGCAATGATGCTTTTGGGAAACGTGCTTGCAGTAACGATGGGGACGCATGGGTGTCGATGGAAGGAATTTGTATATCTAGTTCCGGCGAACCTAGGGTTGGGGCTGACAAACCCTAGTGTTCTCTTTAGCTTCATTTCCTTCTTCCAGCACAGAGGTAAGATGGAATATCGAGACAAGGTGCAGAGACTTACTGCATACAGAACAAGCGGTCGCAACCTCGACTGTGTACTTGATACGGTCAATGGGCGCCATCTATGGTATCACCGTCACGTCCGCCATCATCCAGAATGTCCTCGTCGAACGACTGCCTGAAGCTCTAGGGTCGGCAGCCACTCCAGAGGTATTTCTCGTTTACGTCCAAGAAATAACTTATTCGACTGACTCGATTGCTCGCAAAGCTCATCGAGAGGTTGAGACAGTCTATCCTGGTGCTTCGGGATCTCCCTCCAGAGCTGCAAACCGCAGTGAGAACGCTGTACTGCGACGCACTCAGGGTAGCCTTTGCAGCTTCGAGTAGCTTCGCATTACTGTCATTTATTTTCTCATGGGCAGCAAAGACAGGTATGCTGAAAAGGAAGTCTCCAACCTGAGCTCACACTGGTGCTTGGTTTTGTTATTCGTGGATATATGCGTCGGCCCACGGCGCAGGACGTGGCCAAAGTTGCTACGATGATCAGATTGCTTGATAGATTGCCCCGGAGTGTATAATAAATCGCTGAAATGATGGGACTGTTTCCCTGTAGATCCATTGGTCTTGTTCTGGGGCGTGTTGAACTTTTAAAGAGCGGCGCATCCTTGTTGGGGCTTCTGGCCAGGCACCAAAGTATCATTGAAATAATCCGACGATGATTGGTGGCTTCGTTGTAGTGGACCCCAACCTTCGCCGGCTTTCGGGGTTGGTGAGCTAGACCTGTTCTCAGGAACAGCCAGATTTGGACTTCCAAAGTTGAGCCGGAGTATATCACGTTCCCAAATTTTTTTTATTTTTTTTTGGTGGGGGGGTTTTCAAAAATCCGGCAAGGGGCATAAGACCTCTCGTCACACTTCGTTCCTCAAGGCATCCGTTTCTCGAAGCATTCATTCCTCAAATGCACTCATCCGTTTACTTATTGCTTTGACATCCACCGGATTGTTACATATACCCGCGGTCGCAAATGGAGTGGGCAAAGACTTCCTTTGGCCTAGAGCCTCGATGGTGCTCCCAGCCCGACTTGATTGCGATGCAACATCTCATTCAGAAATACCTTGCAGCGACGGGTGGCGGCGGGGTGGTAAGGGTCAAGTATTTTGCCGAGGGCATGTTCAATAAGCTCTACACAGTTTCTTGGAGTCGGAGCATATTTTTGATGCGTGTGTCATTGCCTGTTTGCCCGAAGCTTAAGACGATGAGCGAAGTCGCCACCCTACAGTTCGTTCGCCAAGAAACGCAGCTTCCTGTTCCCAGGGTCATAGCATTCGACCACTCGAGCCAAAACGAGCTTGGCTTCGAGTGGATTCTGATGGAAAAGATGCCGGGAGTTCCTGTTCGGCAACAGTGGGGGAAATTGACGATGGATGCGAAAGCAGATCTCGTCAAAGCAATTGCGAAATTCCAGGCTCATCTCTTCAATCCGAAAAATCGATTCCAAGGAATTGGCAACATTTTCCAGTCGCCAACAAGTCCCAGCGAAGTGGGAACGCCGCCTACAAAGCCTGCCTCGATAAATCTTGGTGAGGTCAAGCCCAGTTTTGTTCTTGGCTCCATGGTGTCTCCAGCGTTCTTCTGGGGAGATCGTGCCAACCGACGGGTGAACAGCGGGCCGTTTCGGAGCAGCCACGACTGGTTAAAATCCCGCCTCGAGTTGGTAGTGGATGACCAGGAACGTATACTAGCAGGAACAGAAGACGACGATGATACTGATGTTTCTGAGCGTGCGAGAGCGGTAGCAATGAGGCTCCTTGAGCTGCTCCCGACGGTGTTACCAGGGGAAGTCGAGACGGCTGAGGAATCTGTCCTGTGGCATGACGACCTGTCCCAGCAGAACATTCTCGTCGCGGAGAACGGGTGCCTTGATTCTATAGTTGACTGGGAATGCGTCTCTACTGTGCCTCTGTGGAAAGCCCGGGAAGAGCCAATTCTACTCTGTGGCCCATCACGGCCTGACAGAGCGTTACGAGAGGACTACGGAGAAGACGATATACAGAAAGGAGACGAAGATTCACTCGACAATGAGAGTAGTACCGATACCTACTGGATTCATCTCCTTGGGTCCGAGCGCACCGTTCTCCGCAAATTCTACTACCAAACTATGGAAGAGCTACTCCCTGGTTTCAATTCGCAACGGACAAGAGACGCTATCTTGGTGGATATCGATTACGCCGTCCAACAATGCGACAATGAACTAGCTCTTGAGACGATCGAGTCTTGGCTGGATGATCGAAATGAGGGCAGATATTGGAATCTGAAAGAGGTGATGATGGGGTAATGGTTGAGGGTCTACCACGTGGCTCATCATCTATTCCGAATTCAAAAGCACTCGCAACTGCTTTGTATGCATTGCTTACAAATTTGGTGTTTAATAGCATTAAAGGTGTGAGGTGATACTTTCGGACACCCAGGCTTACGTGGCAGGGGCGAGCAGTGAGTGAAGAGTGCCTGAGCTACCATCTGTAAAAGCGGCGACGTTGCGCGTCATTTTATCCTGGTAAAACACATGTATCCCTTCAAATGTCGAGAAGCTCCGGTCGGGTCACGGCAGGGGGGGATAGCCAATAAAAATGCATCGAATCAAAGGTACCTAGCCCCCCACCTATTTTAGCCTATGATAGAAGTACCAGCAACCTCTTGAGTTACAAATTGCTACATTACACTGCTCACATCCCCAAAACTGTCTGGCGCCTCCTTTTATTACGACTGACCGGCGCCAACGGCCTCCTTGAGCTTCTTGACCTTGGCTGCCCTCATTGAAGCCCCTGGATTGACTGCCTCTGTAGGTAGTGACGAAGGTAGCGATTGGGAAATCATTATCTAATTAAGAATGGTTTATATGAGGATTTATGTGGTATTGATCAATGACGCATCGTGTGGTTCCTCTCATGTACCTCCTCGTTGACAGGGGTAGTGTGGGGCGGGGTACTCGCCGGAGCTCCTCGACAATTGAAGGGATAGCTTCGCATTTCTGATGTTATGGGTGCCCCTGAAATAACCCTGTCCTTCAACCCCACGACTACGAGGTATAGGGGGATAGCGAGAGCAGGAGTGTAATGATCACATCAAGCCACGAAGAAGAGATGCAATTTTGTGAAATATTCCATGTAAAGTACCACCAAATGCCTCATGCGTCTTAATATAAGCATAGTTAGAGGTAACGTATCTAATCGTTCCAAGAAACAAAACGCCTATCCCAACCAATCCAAACCTACGGCTATTTATCTCCTCGATTGTGTTAAGGCTCCATTAGGTATAACGCCCCACTAACCCCACGTACCTCGACTCTACGTGAGGCAACTTATATACACATGACAATTACTCGTGGGTATAGATTGAAAAGAGACCCACTATTCTATAGTAGGTGAATAAAAGTAACGTGGGGTTTTATTTTGTAGCTTGAAGATCGGAAGGACTTCAATCACACGCTAATATGGGTGGGAAATGATGTACCAGTCAACCTTCGCGAATTCACTGGTTAGTTATTCCTGCAGTGACCCGACTGGAGCCTTGACACAATCGAGGGGATATGTAAAAAGAATCGCGTTAGGCATCCCCGCAGTTGCGTCATGTAGTAATCTCCACAACACCACTCGGGAATTTGGCAAGTTAATAAAAGGACCTAAGCCGGGCCAGTGTATGTAGACTCTCATCGGCCCTTCTCATGCCCCTCTTGAGGACACAGTGCCTCGAAAATATCTTTCTCAAACCTTATTAATCTTCCCAGACCACTTAGAAGGCAAGATTGATCTACGGCAAGACATACCACATGTTCGGGGGACCTCGACTAAATTGATCATCAGGCTGGATTAAACCTATCGGCATAATGAGCGTCGTGCAGAATCGAGCACACTTGGAATCTGAGCTCGTTTCGTTTATCGAGGCATACGAGCTGGCCAACAACAGCCACGACATCTCACGCGTTATGCCGTTCATCGCCGAGGATGCCACATACTGGTTCTCGGACGGTTCGTATCGAGGGATCGCAGAGATCCGAGCCGCAATCGAGAAGACATTCTCGAAGATCGTCGACGAGGTGTACAAAGTTCGGGACCTGGAGTGGCCAGTGGTAACGACCGAAGTTGCCGTGTGCCGCTACCGGTTCGCCTGGACTGGAATCGTGGGAGGGGAAGCCCGCTCCGGTCTGGGGCGCGGTACTAATATCATCGTGCGGCGGGGAACGGGGTGGATGATGTTGCATGAGCATTTAAGCTTCTGATTTACTTAGTTGAAGTGCTCTCCCTGATAAAGCAATATAGCGGGAGTGGAATGGCATTGAGGGAGTCTAATTTTCGGATCGATGTCCGGGTCGAAATATCATCCGCACCCTTCAGGGCAGTAGATAAAAGATCATCAAGCAGAGGACGCAAAGGTCGCCAGCAAAAGTCTTAAATCCAATCAGGGACAATAAGAAGTACCAACCGCAGCGTAAAGGATTCGTCTAAAGCCGCTGGTTTAAGTGGGATGAAACTGAATAAGAAGCAAGTAATAAGAAGGAGAGCATAGGGTATGATGTAGAGACGATGAAGCTGGCCGCGATGGCCAGGCAGCAAAAGCGGTGCTTTTTCGTTCATCTCTATGGAGAGGATATCCGCGGCTACCATTGAAAGAAGACGATCTACAAGCGGTAGGCACCATCGACATATATAGCCGGCCTCGGTCTCAGCACATATGGGTTTATCTAATAGGTATGCGGGTGATAAGGGGTCTCATCTCTAGCATTCAATTTCGGGTAAGACAGGGGGCAGGTCACGCTCATCACAGTGCCTCAAACATTCAGCATTCAAAGACTGATCAGATGGTATCTTGTCTCATGCCGGGTATTCAACATAGCCAACCCGGCAGAGGCCCCATCCCATATTACAATCTTTCCCTCGATATTCAGAGCACCGACTAGCCCCCTCCTCTTCCATAGACATAATCATAACCCTACCATTTGTATCTTCTCACTACATCTTATTATCCGCCGCCATCAAAAAGGTTTCCTATGATCGCCTTTTTAATAGCCTTTAATATTATCCAGGGCTAAGAAGCGACGTCCGACGCTTCTAGGTCTAAGGTTAGCGTAGTAGCTAGTCTTAATCTATTACTAATTCTTTCTCGTCTTAATCATTCTAGCTATCGAGATTCTCACGTCCCTATTGCTACTGCACCTCGACCGTAAGATAAGCGGCGGCATCGCCTACTACTGGTGCCACACTGAGGTCATTGGAAGGAAGTTTGTGTTCTACGTCCCTACCCTTCTATTACCTTCCATGATGTTCTACGGGCCAGGCCACGTGAGTGCCACCAGAAACGCAGCTCCGGAAGCAGCGATCGGACCAGAATCGAAATAAATGTGTATGAAGTAATTTATGAAGCATTCCGCGATTGAAAAGCCAGTACCAGACAATTGATAGCCTGGGAGATGGAACCGATGCGTGGTGTGTCCTGAAAGTACCCGCCAGGCCCACTGAGGTACTGGCTGGTGTAACAAGCCCGTACTGGGTACGGTCGGCTGTGCCCGTCGCTGTCCTCTATGAACCTGCGAGTACCTGAAATCCGTCCCTCTTAGCGCATAATCAGTATGTGTCAGTATGCCCCCGCCATGTACTCTGAAGTCTTGATAATGCCAATAATAAAGAGGAGACTTGTTCAGAGGGGAAGTTATAGTAGTGAGTACTTGCCTTTTCCTCTTCCACAATACCCTTGCAAACTCAAGTGATGATTATTAGTAGCAAATAAGTCACAAGAGACATAAATCGCACTGTTGGTGCGTGCGCTCTGAGTCATAGGTCCTTGCGGTACTTAAGAGTACGGCTGTCATGCAGCTGAAAACTGCGGACAGGCAAATCACCCGACCTATCTAACACCACATCTGCTGACAAAGTAGCTTTTTGTACCTCAAAGACTAACAGATTAGATAAAGACTGTGTTATCTGGAATAGGAAAAAGAACGCGCTCTTTACTGTATCTATGCTCTTGACTGTACAGCTGTGGCAAACTTGGTCGGTTGTTAAGACCAGAAGGAGAGATGTCATGCTTGGTCGGCCAGACTATGTCCTACAAGTGGGACCCTCTAGTCAACTGACTAGATTAGGAGATAAAATATGGGACCTTGTCTGGTGGAGCAGTGGGACCGTTGGTGGGCTATTAGTGATATTGAGCAACCCAAATCTGGGGCCTTTGGTGGTGTGATGCATTAACATATAGGCATGTCGCGCCTTAGTACTAGTATGGCAAGCTTCTGGGCCGATAAGAATGGAGAGCAGCGCTCCCTAAGACCTGAGACCCTTGTTATCTTTCCTCTTTCCCTGAACTATGGCGCCTCAGGTAGGCCATCCGGAACTAGCGTGTGCTCTAATTTTACCCACCACTTCTGGGTCTTCCGAATAGGCAAGCAATATAGCGTGGGTAATTCCCACCGTAATTTTTGGGACTGTCACTATTTCGATAGTTTTTTCCCTTCTCGTTACACGCCAAAGAAGATCTAGCCTTCGGGATCGAGCTTGCTAATAGAGCCGGAAACCGTTGTGGAAGGGGACCTGGCGAAGACGAAAGGCACGCCTAATTCAACAGCAAGAGGAGCACGAATTTCTACGAGCGAAGTTAATTTAAAAATCCTTAGCCAGTAGGCATATCGGTTAATAAATTCACGAGGAAGGAGCTAAGATAGAACTATAAGAACCTTGGAATAAAAGGTTATGTATTTCCTAGTTAAAGAATTAAGCGCGTCTGGTGGATTTGTATACTTAGAAGCAAAGATACTATAATACTACTATAAATATAAAGGTAGAATAAGGCTTAATAGTAATATTATTATAATGAGATGCTGGGTAATTTAGATAGATAGTATGTAGAAGAGCTAAGATTTCTAACTAATATATGTTATCGGGGTTTCTGTCGAGGATTCCTTATCGTGCTCCCTAGAATCCCTATTTAATTTTTAAAAGTTAATAAGCGCTTGTTAAAGATAGGCTATTATATTTTTTACTTCTTCTAGTAGGTATATACTTACTCTATTCTTTCTCTATTAATACGCTAACTCGTATCGAAGACAGCTATTTTTATATATCCTTTGCTCGATAATCTTAGGGAAATCAGGGGTTAGTAAGTTCTTAGAGGCTTATAGCCTTTCTTAAGTTACTTTAATAGCAATAGAAGACCCTTAATATCGAGCAATTTCTATGTTAATAGGGGTAAGCTCTAGAGGCCTATCGTGGCTCTATAGCTTAATATAACGAGAGGATATTTCCTAAGGGATAAACCGGTTATATAGGTTTATATTAGCAAAGGAGAATATTATATAACCTTAAAAGGTAATATAATATTATATCTAGTAATATACTTAAGGTATTAAATATAACTAAGTTATATTAATAGCTAAGGTAATTACTATATAAGAAAATATAATAAGTGCGTTTTATATACTTATAGTTAGTCTTTAGACTAATATTCTTTAGGTTTAATCTAAGGTAAGATTAATATTTCTAATATTTAATCCTTAGATTAATATAGGCAAGGTTTAATCCCTTTAGTTTTTTATTTAGTTAAAGTATTTTTATTATATTTCCCCGCTTAGCTTATATTATAGCTATAATATAAGGTTCCCCCTCTATTAGTTTTATCCTTAAGACTAATTTTAGTAACTAAGTATTATTAATAAGTAACTCTAACTTATAAAAATCTCTTTTTATTAATATAATATTAGGCTAAGTTTCTAAGTATACTTTTTTATAAAAACTTTCTAAAATATAAAGTCTTTTTATTTATATTAAGGCTTTTAGTTCTAAAATTATACCTTATATTTATTATTTCCGCTAAGGTTTATCTTATAAGGTAATTTCTAATTATTTTAATTATTATTTTAATTATATTAATATAAAAGTAATATATAATAAGGCTAATATAGCTTCTTTCTATAGGTATATATTAATATTTCTTTATAGCTATTAACTAATCTTTTATAATTATAAAAAATATCTAAGAATATAAGCGCCTAGAAGATAAAGAGGCTAAGATAGAGGCTACCTTAGAGGAGGTAATAGCTAAGCTTACTTATATCTAGAAATAAAAGAGGTTATTTAAAGTATATAATAATAAGGCCTTTAAGCGTGGCCTATATGCCTTAGAGGAGTTAAGTAAGCTCTGCGAGGAGTTATTTATTATTATAGAGGTATATTCTTTTAGGGCTATTAATTTAATTAATTAGAATACTATTAGCCTTAATAAGCCTATATTTAGTATTATTAGTAAAAGTTCTTTAGAAGGTATTATATATTAATAAGGTATTCTAGGGGTTTTTATATATTTTCTAAGTTAAGGTAATTTTTTTATTTAATAAAATATATTATTTTATTATTAATTTTATTTATATTAAGAATAGCTTTTATAATATATTCTTTTAATTTATTAATTTTTATATTAGGCTTATTATTTATTTTTATTTAGATAATATTTTATATTAATTTAAATAATAAAATATAAAAGATTAAATAAAGCTTAACCTTAGGTAATAAGTCTAATTTATAGTTATATTTTAAGATTTTTTTTTTAATTTTATATAATTTAATATATTTATAATTAAGTTTTTTATTTTATTATTTTATTTTAATATTTTTTATTGCGAGGTAGATTATATCTCTTTCTAAGAAGGTTAATCTCTTAATCCTTTTCTTATTAATATAGGTTATTATTTTATTCTTAATAAATTTAAGTTCTATTTATATTTTTTTATATAGATTTTATAGTTAATTATTAATAAAGATTATTTTTAAGTTAATAATAATATCTTAGGATTATTAATAAATATCTAGGATAAATCTAAAATTAGTATAGGCTAATATAATCTTTATATTTTTATTAA